TATGTTATATTATTAGTGACTACAATATAGAAAAATATTCCAGAACTGAAAAAACCTGTTGAGATTAAACACTATACAAATAGACTTCATTTACAAAATATTTTATAATAGTAAAACCAATTGCATACTAAGTATCCAAGGACGGTCGGTCTCAGCTGAGCCGTGCTGACATCTGTTGACTACATCATGTGTATTGTTAAGTGTGCAATCAACTGCGACTTCATTTATCTATGACATATCATTATATCGATTTATATTATTATTTTGTGTCTATTGTTTTTTAAAAAGCATATTACATGTTTATGTTTATGGTTAAATAAAATGAATAAAAATGTTTCTTCAAAGATGTGTTTTTTTTGTGTGGGATATGATTTGATTGATATAATTTATCAGATTTAATTTATCTGATCAAAAGACACTTCAAATGTAAAATGTTTTATTAAAATTAATACACACAAATATTGAAATGAGTACACGCACACACACACACACATATATATGTGTGTGTGTGTGTGCGTGTACTCATTTCAATATTTGTGTGTATTAATTTTAATAAAACATTTTACATTTGAAGTGTCTTTTGATCAGATAAATTAAATCTGATAAATTATATCAATCAAATCATATCCCACACAAAAAAAACACATCTTTGAAGAAACATTTTTATTCATTTTATTTAACCATAAACATAAACATGTAATATGCTTTTTAAAAAACAATAGACACAAAATAATAATATAAATCGATATAATGATATGTCATAGATAAATGAAGTCGCAGTTGATTGCACACTTAACAATACACATGATGTAGTCAACAGATGTCAGCACGGCTCAGCTGAGACCGACCGTCCTTGGATACTTAGTATGCAATTGGTTTTACTATTATAAAATATTTTGTAAATGAAGTCTATTTGTATAGTGTTTAATCTCAACAGGTTTTTTCAGTTCTGGAATATTTTTCTATATTGTAGTCACTAATAATATAACATACCCAGAGCACTGATATTCAGAAAAACGAAAACATTGGAGGATGCGGGCATCGATCCCGCTACCTCTCGCATGCTAAGCGAGCGCTCTACCATTTGAGCTAATCCCCCTGCTCGCTCGCTCAGGCAACATACTCATACAACACACTCCATCACGTACTACATCCATGCTGGATTCAAACTCATTGTTCAATAACAATAAACTTTGTGATTAATAATAGCCTATAATGAATGATTTAGCAATCAAAAACAACACGGATTTCGTTCTGAATAAATGTATCTGAATAAATATATTTTATTCATTTCACTTCCGGTAAGGATCAGCCAGCCAAAATAAAAGCTATAATACAATGTTTGATTTTCGAAGGTGCTGCTCATGTGAACCAGCTCATTACGTCTTCTTATTAATATTTTTGTTGCTGACAAATTTGTTTCTTCATTGTGGTAAAATCGCTCTTCATAGCATATAATACCTCGGCATATCATAATGAAATAAAAGTATCCAAAGTTTTCAGTACCTTTTTGGTTTTAGTTGGTTCCGAAGGGTTTATGTATAAAGTCATTTATAAAAATGTAGGAATGTTGTTTTGAAAAATGTCCACTTGTTTTAATGTATATGGTATTATCTAAATAAAACAAGTAATTGAATAATGGATGTTCGTTACACACAAAAAGTACATTACATGGGACTAAAATAAGGAAAAAACTTTCATTCACAACTGAATTTAGTAAACCAGAAAAAAACATACCAATGCTCATAATAATAATAATAATAATAATAATAATTATTATTATTATTATTATATTTAGTATTATATTACAAACAGCACGTCATTCAATTACATTGATATACCTTCCAGTTCTTAAGTATTAAGAAAATGTACTTCATAAATGTGCATGCCAGCGCAAAATGCTGGTCAAAATGATAGACTTTTATAAATTCAGCAGTGCACATGTGACTTAACTACACTGGCGTTATGCAGACCTTTAGAGCAAAATGATTGTTGGAAAATTCACACCGGATATGCACATTTACATTTGATAGCCAGACACTTGTCATGTCAAAGGAGCAATAGAAAACAGTCAAGTCGTGACAAAATGGCGAGCGGAATTGGAAGTGAGTATTGCTCTCTATATTGTCATCATACACATGCATGTACGGCGTATGTCCTGCGTGGAGCGGAGGGCAGATTGTAATTGATGCATGTCAAGCGCGTGCATAATGGATTCAGCGGTGCGCGTGCATGTTGTGGGATTCGACACGCAGAAGTCGTGATTACAGTAATGACGCTCATTGGCCGAATCACTGGACACTTTACAGAGATTATGACTAGCTTTCGTGAGCACATCACATTTCCCATCTTTTAGAGGAATGTGAGATGCCGATGATGTGTCGACCATCTAAAACGGCATCATTATTAGATGTCAAACTGCCCACCCTCTGTTGTATAATGCGTCTCACAGCGCAGCACAGATGTGTTTGAATGCTGTTTACATTTCAAATGCTTTCTTCTCTTTATATTCTGTCTTTTAATTCTTTGGACAGAACATAAATTGCTGTTGGGCCCAACAGAGCCATGGTCAGTTAGGGAAAAGCTGTGCCTCGCCTCCTCTGTCATGAAGAGTGGAGACCAAAACTGGTGATTTAAAAAAAAATTTTTTTTTTTACATGTATATATCATTGCTTTAATCTAGTGGTTCTCAACCTTTTTGACTCCAAGGCCCCCATTGTCCACAACAATATTCAAAGGCCCCATGACTTTTCCAGTTGTTTGTGTTTTTTTGTTTTGTTTTTTGAGCATGGCATAACTAGAAAAATGTAAATTCAGTATAAATAAATATTACATATAAGAAATATCTTGATTTTTAGTTGTTTTGGCTTATTTTACTGCTTGATTTGTTCCAAATGTATGCATAATTATGTTTAATTTATGTATAATTTAAAGTCATTTATAGTATGTAAGATATTTGGTTTACAAAGCTCATACGGTATTTTTCTAATAAAATAAATAATTGCATAATGTATTTTTCTTTACATTCCAAAATATTACGTGAGACTTAAATAAGCACCAGCAAGAAACTTTCATTCACAACTGATACAATTTTTAGAGATATACTGTATAACTAGAAATATGTAATTTACTTTAACTTTAACTTATTTATTTCCATTAATTGTAAAGGACCCCTTGAGAACCACTGCTGTAATTTCAGTAAAGCGAATCTGGCTATTCTCAAATCAGCCTAATTTAACATGCAGCATCACAGTCGTGTGTTTTGTACACGGGTGTTGTTCCAGGGTGTCTGTGAGCCGAGCCATTAAGCCATTTGCAGAACCTGGACGCCCTCCTGACTGGTTCTCTCAAAAGGTATTCGGAGAGCAGTAGAACAATCCAACGACATGGAAAATTATAAGTAATAGTTCACCCCAAAATTAAAATTTGCGGAAAATTTACTCTCAGGCCATTCAAGATGTAGATGAGTTTGTTTCTTCATTGGAACAGATTTGGAAAAATTTAGCATTACATCATTAGCTCACTAACGGATCCTCTGCAGTGAATGGGTGCCGTCAGAATGAGAGTCCAAACAGCTGATAAAAACATAAATCCGCAAGTAATCCACACGAATCCAGTCTATCAATTAACATCTTGTGAAGTGGAAAGCGGTGTGTTTGTAAGAAATAAGTCCTCCATCCATAATATTGCTTTCTCAAAAAAAAAAATCCACCCTCATTTTGTTCTAAACCTGTATGATTTTTTTCTTCTGTGGAACAGAAAAATAGTTTTAAAGGAAGTTTTGAAGTATGCTGCCCTTGCATACAATGAAAGTGGATGGAGACTCAGCTTGTCCAGCCCCAAAAGTAGACCATAAAACTCCAAGTCTTCCAATGCTTTATGCTTTGTAATTTTGGGTGAACTATCCCTTTAAGGATTAATTCATTATACATTATGTGATATATGCTTATAACACACTCTCTCTTTCTTCACAGCATTGTGCATCACAATACTCTGAGCTCCTGGAGACAACTGAGGCCCCAAAGTGAGTCCACTTTCTGTTCATTTGCCTTCCAACATCCACTTCCTTTCTGACAGCACTTAATGGTGCTCTTTTATGTCTGCACGTTCACAGGAGAAAGCGAGGTGAAAAAGGGGAGGTGGTTGAGACGGTGGAAGACGTTATTGTTCGCAGGTTGACAGCGGAGAGAATAGAGGAGTTGAAGCGACTGATCAAGGACACACAAGAGAAGCACAGGTACCAAATGTTCACACACTTACTTGGACCAACGGCTGCCTTCTGCTGACTGTAACTCTGTTACTGTGTCCCTTTAGGAAACTGAAGAGAGAAACTGAGCTCATCCAGGCAGGACATCTGGACTCTAAACTTGAGGAGCTATGGGAGAAAATTGTACGGTAAGAATCACTGTACCAGGTATATCCACCGTCAACTCAGGCAGTTTTATCTTCCTATCTGCTATAAATATACCACATTTAAAGGAATAGTTCCACCCCAAATTGTCATTTATATTATTTATTAGTTATATGCTATTTTATTTTTTATTTTATTTTATTTTGTTAATTTAATTTAGTAAAAAAACCCAGATCTTTTTCATTCACATCAGTTCATAGTGACTTTCATTATGTTCCTCACATAAAGCTATCATATGCAAATCATATCAATATAGTGCATGGTCATATATTTATATACTATTGTTGTATTTATTAATATTTTGAGTTTTAATTTTTATATTTTGAGTTTTAATAAGTTTGTTTTGTGCCTTTTTAAATTCTATTTAGCTTTAATTTATTTATATTTCTGTTTTAGTATTAGTAACTGAAATGTATTTATTTTTCTATTTTTTTAGGATTTTAACTTTTTCATTTCTATTTTATTTTATTTCAGCTTTATTTCAATTATCGATTTTTTTTAAATCGTTTTAGTTTTAGTTAGCAGTATGCAACAATGCAACAAAGAGAAGCTGAGTAAATAATCACAGAATTTTCATTTTGATGAACTATCCCTTTAAGATTGTAAGTGAATGCTTGTCAGTTTAGTGATTTAAATTCTGTATGTCCATTAGGAGCAGAAAACAAGAGGAAGAGGAAGCTGAAGTGAAAAGAAAGGCCACAGATGCAGCGTACCAGGGTATATAAAAAAAGCCCACAAAGTGTCATTGGCATTGATTGGTTTGGTCATTGTCTTAAAGAGATGGGTTACTAAAATGATGAATGCGTATTTAAGCATTTATTCATAATTGGGCAAATCTGAGATTCTAAATGAGGAAAAAACGTTATTCATAAATGTAGTTTCAGTTCATCATAAATGCTTAATAGTAAGAGCTGTTTATCTTTTTTTTTTCAGCCAGGCAGGCAGTGAAGAACACTCCTAAACGTGTGGCCAGTGTGACAGTGCGCTCCCCCTCTGGGGCCTGCTCTCCGAGCTTGGATTTTCCTACTGGAGACTCATCTGGAGATCCTAGCACAACTGTGTGTTTCTTTGTTTTGAATTTTTATATTTTAATTCTTCAATTTGAATTTGTCATTTATTTTGATAATCATCCCTCCCCGGTGCAGGGGGCAGGATCAACAGTGTTTGTGCCCCTGACGGTGCTGCCAGGCCCTGGAGTGGTAGAGGCGAGTTTGGGGTCACTGCTAGATGAATCAACACAGAAGAAGCTTTTGGGTCAGAAAATCACGCCGCCTCCCTCTCCTCTCCTGTCAGAACTGCTGAAGAAAGGCAGTCTTCTGCCCACCAGCCCCAGACTGGTCAGAATTCACAAAGTTCTACACATTGTGTCGTTATAAAAACTGTAAAATATATTTTGGCTAATTTAGCAACACTTTTAGCTACCATTATGATGCTTTGAGTGAAGAGGATGCAGATTCTATGTGAAAATTCTATTATCAAAGTGGTATTTACTATTTAAGACTTTATTTATATGTTAAAAAATACAGTAAAAACAGTAATATTGTGAAATATTATTACAATTTAAATAGCTGCTTTCAATTTTAATATATAAAATTAAGTGCATTTTATTCCTGAAATGGCAAAGCTGAATTTTCAGCTTTTCATTATTACTCCAGTGTCACATCATCCTTCAGAACTCATTCTAATATGTTGATTTGCTGCTCAAGAAACATTTATTATTATTATCAATGCTGAAATGGTTCTACTGCTTAATATTTTTGTGAAAACCGTTTTGAGGATTCTTTGATGAATCGAAAGCTCAAAAGATCTGCATTTATTTAAAAATAGAAATCTTTTGCAACATTATACATGTATAGTCATGCATAGTTAATGCATCCTTTGTAAATAAAAGTATACCAAAAAAATTCTCTCTTTTGAACAGTAGTGTTATATAGTTTATATAGTTTACTTGTGTCGTAACTATGATATATGATAAAGTGACAGAAAAATAAAAGCAGGGCTCCTATGGTTCTAAAAAAAAAAACCTCAAAATACCAGGGAATGCCAAAAGTGTTATTTTCAGGTATGAAAAAACATGAAAATTAATAAAATATTAAAAGGTCATGAAAAAAAAGCATTCATATTTCTATAATCAATATAAATTTGCTCACATTCTGTATGCTTAAAATAAATCGTAGTCATTAATATAAATTATTTCTTTGGCTCTTTGTGAAAGCAATCTTTATAAAAATAAACATTTTAAAAGTCCTTTTCCACAATGACTGGAAACGTCATGAAGTGTGGAAACCCTGCAAAAGTGATGCAGCTGTTTCTTTCTTCCACATAAATCTGAGTGGTTTTGTTTTCAGTGTGGACACACAAATTTCTTGTATCATGCCTGTTTACGACTGTTGGATTTTTTTTTTAGTCAAATCTAAAGCAATCTAAAGAAAATCCTTATTGCAGGCAGTTGAGGGAGAATCTCCGTCTAGTCAACTTACAGGGAGTCACGATAATCAGATGATGACTTCTTCGCTCCCTGCCTCTCAGGCAGCGACAGGTATGAATTCACACACACTTGTTTGTACAGCGAGTCTAGCAGTGTCACAGTTTAGCATCTGAGCAGTAGAAGCGAAGTGACAAATTCTGTATCAGCATCTTTGTGTTTTCTGTCTTTGTGTATAAGAGTCATGATATGGGTATCTCTTCCAGCTTAACGCCTAACTCGCTCTCTCTGTGCACCGTGTGTGTGTGTGTGTGTGGGTACGTCGTGCCGCACTTGTGTTTGTACGCATGTGTCTCAGGTGCTCCCACACTGTCTCGTCTGCTGGAAGCTGGCCCCGCCCAATTTCCCTCTCAGCTGAGCTCATTGGGCACTGCAGACTCCGCCCTCAGCGCTGCCACCTCTGCAGTGGACACCGCTGCCCCGCTCGGCACAGGTCTCTAGACTGTAGACACTGTCTTATCCTTCTCCCATCTTTAGATCATAGCTGATGTGTTAACTATTTTGTGCCCTTGCTCGACTGTCTCTTGTTTGTTTGGTTTGTTAGAACACAAATGTTTGTCTAAATGCACTGTCTAAAGTGGGTTTGATATGTGTCTAATACTTTAAACAGGAGGTGATGGAGCCCCCATGGCTTCAGTGGATAATAAGGAGGCAGTTTTAGGGGAAGAGGACCTGGTGACTGTGTCCTATATGGCAGAGGAGCTGGACTTAGAGACAGTTGGGGACATCATAGCCATTATTGAAGAGAAGGTAAATCAGACATGCACTTTTATCATGCTTTTTTTTTCAATTATTAAATTTCTTTTCTTGATGTCCAATGTTATATTTTTAAATATACAATATTTAATATTTCATGTTATTTGGTAAAAATACAGCAAAATCAGTAATATTGTGAAATATTATTACGATTTAAAAATGTGTTCTATTGTAATATATTTAAAAATGTAATTTATTCCTGTGATGGTAAAGCTGAATTTTCAGCAGCCATTACTTCAGTCCATGATCCATCGGAAATTATTATAATATGCTGATTTGGTGCTCAAGAAACATTTATTATTATTATCAGTTAAAAACAGTCGTTTTGCTTTTTTCAGGATTCTTTGATGAATAGAAAGTTCAAAAGAACAGTATTCATTGAAACAGAAATATTATGTAACATAATAAATGTCTTTACTGTCACTTTTACTGTCAAAATGTAATGCATCCTTGCTGAATATAAGTAGTTAAAAAAATACTGACTGAACTTTTGAACTGTATGTGCAGTTATTTATTTAAAAATGTTTCTAATAATGTTTATAGTTATAGTATTTATGTATAAGCAATTATGATTTATGTTTTAAAGAAAAGGAAATAGACACAATAGCTGCACAATAGTAGCTCAGTAGTGAGGATGAGCTAGTCTTTCAAGAACAACATTATGGATAAATGATAATTAAACAAATCATTTTTGAGTATGTAGGATTTCTGAGTTTGAAAACATGAATTTGTAAAAAAAATAATAATAATAATTTGTAAGACAAAATCAGTTTTCTAAATCTACTTAGAAATTTTTCCTTTGAGGTACAATATCTACCATTTGAACACAAGGAAAACAGTATACTGAGCAGAAAGATATAAATAAAATATCAAAGTGCATCAAACTAGTTACAGAAATACACGATTATCCATTAAACCATTACTACTCAAATCTTCCCATCTGTCTGATGTTTCTTGCATAGTCCAACAACAACAACAAAAAAAATCATTTTTGTGTTGACGAAGGGTGACGAGAATGCCGAGGCACTGGATGCTGCAGCGGTGGAAGCCGCTCTGTCTCTGTGTGAGGACACGGGTCACAACCTGTCAGGTACCTGGGAGCCCGACCCCTTCAGGCCCAGTGGCCCCGAGCCCTCCAGCACTTCAGAGGACTTAGACCCACATTCCCTGCATCTGTTAGAGGGGAAGCGAGAGGGTCTTGACATGTGTGGATCCAGCAGTGGATGTGCACAGGAGTACACGACACCGTCCACCACTGTCCCCTCTGTTCCTCAAGACCCCACTCCAACAGCAGGAGCCCATTCAGACCCAGATGCCCTCAGACCAGAGCACACTGATGAGGCCCAGGATGGGCAGCCAGAATCACTGCATGCTGTGATCAAAAGCGAGACTGATGAATGGACACGGTCTCAATCAGGTACTCCACGTTTTGCGTTTACACCAGGGCAAATTAGCTGAATGGATTGACAGTGGTGAAAGTGAACATTGTACACTACTGTTCAAAAGTTTAGGATGAGTACATTTTGTTTTTAATTAATACTTCTATTCTGGGATGTAACATTTATAATGGTACAAAAGATTTCTATTCTAAATAAAAATCTTTTGAACTTTTTATTCATCAAAGAATCCACAAAAAAATCACAGTTTCCACAAAAATATGAAGCTACACAAACATTTTCAACATTATTAATAATAATAATAATAAATGTTTCTTAAGCACTAAATCAGCATATATTAGAATGATTTCTGAAGAATCGTGTGACACTGAGGACCAGAGTAATGGCTGCTGAAAATTCAGCTTTTACATTAAAAAAAAATATTCAAATAGAAAACATTTATTTTGAATTTTAATAATATTTCACAATACACAAATACTGTTTAAAAAAACAAAAACTATTATTGATCAAATACATGCTTGGTGCTCATAAATGACTTCTTTCAAAAACATTTAAAAAAATCTTACCCCAACTTTTGAATGGTAGTGTATACTTCAATACACCTCTTCTGTGATGAACACGTTTTTCATTTCTAAATTAAAATTCATACATTTTTGGGACTAAAGTCAAAGATATATACTGTCCAAATGAAAAAAAAATGGAAATGAAAAAACAAAATCAAGTTATGAAATTTTTGCAAAGAAAACCTTAGTTTGGCATAGTCTTTTATGAGTATTTCTTAGGGGGAAAAATAGTTTTGTTAAAATGTTCAAGATAAAACAGGAAATTATATCATAGACTCTCATGTCTGTCAAGGTCAGTAATTTGAAAGTTTTAAGACAAGACAATGATAGTTTAGTTGGTAAAATGTCAAGTGGTGTGACCTCCCAAAAACCATATTTATAAGTAATAAATCAATATTTATTTAAAAAAATACATTAAACGTGTATTTAAAACATTGCGTAAAATAACGACAAGATGTTTACATTCAAGTCATTAAATTTAAACCTTTTTTAACCCATATGAAACCAACAAGAATACAAAGAGTACATTTCTAAGAACATGAATTTGAAATTAAAATTGTAAAATATTATTCCTCTTCTTTATTTTGGACACTCTTATGTCACTGACATAAGACATAATGTTGCATGTGATAATACGTTAACTTGAACCCTAGTTTGCACGCACCCCCTGGAAACACGATTTTGGCAGCAACTCACAGATGTTTCATTCTCTTCCAGATACACGGTCAGAAGATGACCCTGTGATAAAACAGCACTCAAAGGTGTGGTGATGCTGTGACTGTGTGCATACGCTAACACATAATGTACCACCCACGAGTACATATAGGCCCGGAAACCATTAACTCTGCCCTTTTTAGTATTTTTTTTTACACTCCTCGTTAACAGGAAGTGAAAGAGGAGGAGGAGGCCGTGAGTGATGCCGAGGAGGGCAGTGTGTCGGAGATGAAAGCTGGATTAGAAGGGGATGGAGTCGAGGATTGTGGGGGAGAAGAGGATGGAGACGGAGTTTATCTCTCAGAGCCAGAGGGGGAAACAGAGTTGGATCCTCCGGCCAGCGAGAGCGAGGACGGCTACAGCATGCACACGGCATCCTCTTCTGTACAGCTCCACACAACTGCAGACTCCATTCCCAGCAGCCCTGCCTCCTCACAGTTGTATGTGCCAAAACTACAAATAATTGTGACCCTGGACCACAAAACCAGTTTTAAGTCGCGGGGGTATATTTGTAGCAATAGCCAAAAATACATTGTATGGGTCAAAATTATAGATTTTAATTTTATGCCAAAAATCATTAGGATATTAATTAAAGATCATGTTCCATGAAAAAACTTATTTTTTGATTAGTAATATGCATTGCTAAGAACTTCATTTGGACAACTTTAAAGGCGATTTTCTCAATATTTAGATTTTTTTTGCATCCTCAGATTCCAGATTTTCAAATAGTTGTATCTCGGCCAAATATTGTCCTATCCTAACAAACCATACATCAATGGAAAGCTTATTTATTCAAATCTCAATTTCGAAAAATGGATGACTGGTTTTGTGGTCCAGGGTCACAATTAAGGAACGTTCACCCTTAGTCTGATTGTAAATAGTTCTGGTGATTATGATTATGCTTTAACAAATATTTAAAGGAATAGTTCACCCAAAATGAAAATCTGCTGAAAATTTACTCTCAGGCCATCCAAGATGTTGATGAGTTTGTTTCTTCATTGGTACACGAATTGGAGAAATGTAGCATTTCATCACTTGCTCACCAATGGGATCCTCTGCAGTGAATGGGTGCCGTCAGAATGAGAGTCCAAACAACTAAAAACATTACAATAATCCTCAAGTAATCCACACGATTCCAGTCCACCAATTAACGTCTTGTTAAGCGAAAAGCTGCGTGTTAGTAAGAAACTAATCCATCAAAGCATTTTAACATTAAACCATTGCTTCTGGACAAAATATGAGTCCATAATCCATAATAACGCTTCCTCCAGTGGGAAAAAAAAGTCCATGTCCTGTTTTCCTCTCACATCAAAATCTACTGACACATTTGTCTAGAACTATTTTGAACTGTTTTCGCATATAAATGGTGCTTGATCTGTGCATATTTCTCTCCCAAATCAGACTAGACAACTTTTTCACCAGAGAAAGCAATATTATGGATAGATGACACATGTTTTAGCTGGAAGCAACAATTTGAAGTTAAAAATGCTTAATAATTGATTTGTTTATTACAAACACGCAGCTTTTTTTCCACAAGACGTTAACTGATGGACTGGATTCGTGTGGATTGCTTGTGGATTATTGTACCCTGTACACCCTGTAGCCCAAGACTGGTTACCCACTGAAGCTAAGCAGGGTTGAGCCTGGTCAGTACCTGGATGGGAGACCTCCTGGGAAAACTAGGTTGCTGCTGGAAGAGGTGTTAGTGAGGCCAGCAGGGGGTGCTCACCCTGTGGTCTGTGTGGGTCCTAACGCCCCAGTATAGTGACGGGGACACTATACTGTCAACAAGCACCGTCCTTCGGATGAGACGTTAAACCGAGGTCCTGACTCTCTGTGGTCATTAAAAATCCCATGGCACTTCTCGTAAGAGTAGGGGTGTATCTCCGGTGTCCTGGCCAAATTCTCTCCACTGGCCCTTGTCAATCATGGCCTCCTAATAATCCCCATCCACTGAATTGGCTCTATCTCTCTCTCCTGTCCACCTGTAGCTGGTGTGTGGTGAGCACACTGGCGCCGTTGTACTGAGGCTGCCGTCGCATCATCCAGGTGGATGCTGCACACTGATGGTGGATGAGGAGATACCCCCTGACAGTGTAAAGCGCTTTGAGTGCCTAGAAAAGCGCTATAAATATAATGAATTATTATTATT